GCACGGGACCATAAGCATTTTACTCGACAGCCTGTTGTAAACTCTAATTAATACCGAGATACTGGAGATCAGATATCCGGCGAGAAAGGATAAGCAACAAGGAACTCTAGCAGCAAATTAACCAACACTCTGTTGCCCATTAGATGGTAGGAGGCAGCCAGCTACAGGAAGCCTGGCTTGCCCCACGCCTCTTGGCTAGTTGGCACTCAACCAGTCAACAAGGAGTATCTGCAGTCACCTTAAAGGGACTTATATCCCTCCTTCTGAAATTCAAACCCGCATCACCCAGTGCTGCATTCAGAGACGTCACCATTGAGCTATTCGGGCTCATGATTGACCTCCTGTAGGACTGTATTGGATAATTTGATTGGGCACTAGTAACCAGTGTGATGTATTTAGTCCTCTCTTTGGTGCAGACTGAATTCTATCGTTAGTCAGGTTTGCAATGTGGCCACCATTCTAGGTAGCTTGCCATCACGGTGCACATTGATTTGATGATATTAGATTATCATCGAACAAAGCATGGAATGGCAATCAAATCTCTACCTCAACTTCATAGACTTTGAGAAGGCCTTCGACAGCGTTGACCGCGAAGTAATTTGGAAACTACTCGAGTACTACGGTGTACCCCAAATATTCATCAACCTTATTCAACAGCTGTACGACAACGGCACATGTCAAGTGATCCACAACGGAAAACTCAGCGAAGCGTTTGGAGTAAACACAGGAGTCAGACAAGGGTGCTTATTATCACCAATGATATTCCTAATTGTGGTGGACTGGATTATGCGTCAGACAGTGGGAAACGAGAAGACAGGGATATCCTGGACCACCGACGTGAAGAACCTAGAAGACCCAGACTTCGCGTGTGGATGATTTGTGTTTGATGTCACACAAAATCGAAGACTTACAAGCGAAAACCGACAAACTGGTCGAAGAAGCAGCAAAGACAGGACTCTAGGTGAACATAGACAAGACGGAGGTTATGAAAATAACCAACCAACAACAACAACAACAACAGCAGCAACATCCAGTGCCAATCACCATCAACGGGAGGGATTTGAAAGAGGTTACTTCTTTCACTTATCTAGGGAGCATTGTCTCAACCACAGGAGGAACGGACGAGGATGTCAAATCGAGAATCGGGAAAGCGAGAAACACATTCATCAACCTGAAACCAATCTGGAAATCTTCGTCACTCACCATCAACAACAAAATTCGGATTTTCAATACAAACGTCAAGTCAATTCTGCTTTACGGATCAGAAACTTGGCCAGTATGTCACAAAGAATATTTCCAACAGCCTGTTGGAGATCTTTGTCAACAACTGTCTTCGCTCTATACTGAAGATCAGATGGCCGGAAAGAATCACCAACAAGAAACTATGGGAACAAACAAAACAAGAAGCAATCGCCCAACAAATATGCAGGAGAAAGTGGAGATGGATTGAACACTCGCTGAGGAGGCCGCTGGGTGACATCGCGCGTCAAGCCCTCGAGTGGAACCCGAAAGGGAAGAGGCAAGTAGTGGGACGTCCAAGGGTGACATGGAGGAGATCGTGTGAGGAGGAGATGAAACAGTATGGAATAACATGGACGCAAGTGAAAAGTACAGCACAAGACAGAAGCAAGTGGAGACGTGCAGTTGAAGCCCTATGTTCCACTAGGAACCCAAGGGAACAATAATAATAATAATAGATGGTTGGAGGCAATCGGCAGGAATCCCAACAAATTTGCAGAAGGAAATGGAGATGGACTGTAAACATACACGCTCAGTAGAGGATCATCAAATGACATCACAAGTCAAGCAGGTCGTCGAGTAGAAGCTGAATAGTTCCGAAGGTGTGAACACTGACGGAATGAAAATTCTTGGACAATCGTGAAGCAAAGTGAGAATAACAACAGAGAATAAGAGTACAATGAAGATTGTGCTGATGAAGATAATGCTTCACTCAGAGAGTGCATTGCACTAATCAAGACATTCTACTCGAATTCATGCTGCCAGGTTAAGACCTAACGGACAGCTGTCATCTAAAATGGTGACAACCAGTGGTGTCTGTTAGAGATGTCTTTTGTCCCCATTTCTATTCAATTTCATCATAGATGTACTAATGGAATTAACCCTAACTGACTTCAACGACTCAGGCATTCACCTGTTGACTTGAAATATGCGGATGATAAATTCCTCCTACGTAAAGACGCTGACAATATGCAGAGTCTCCTGAACACCTTGAGAAGCAACAGTCTTCGAATGTTTGGCATGCGATTCGCTCCCTCTGTCAAAAGTAAGATGGTGCTACAGAACTGTACTACATCAACTCATTCTTAGCCTAAAGATGGGGAGGAGTGAAGTGGTGGCTAAGCGTGTTGACCATTTCACTTATTTGGGAAATTGCATTAGCCAGCTCCAGAGGGTTGATCGCTGACGAAATCTCAGAACGGATACAGAATGCTCTTTTGGCATATGCCAAATCGCGGCATCTCTGGCTCAATAGACATGATATCCAGATGTCGACCAAAAGACGTGTGTACTGTTCAAAAGTTCGCTCCATTCTCCTTTATGGCTGGGGGCGAGAAACGGTCACTGACAATATGGAAGACATGAAAAGTCTGGCTAGCTGTCTCCGTCCTATTTACCGTGTTAGGCGTAATAGAGTGAGTAATACTGGGGTGGTTAGGTATCGATCAAGTGCTGGGTAAGGAGAGAAAGCCTATCGAGGAAGCTGTGAAGCTACATGTGTTATGCATGACAGGCCATCGCCTTGCTCGACAGTTACTGTTAGTTGACACAGGATTAGCTTGGAGATAAGCTAGTGGTGGTCACACCAAAACTTCGCATTAGTCAGTTAGTTTGAGGTATGTAAGGAGGTATCGATTGCTTGGCTAGTTGGGATCCTCTTGATCCTAAGAACCAATGAAGGCTAGATATAATTGGTGATGTTGCTCAAAATCGTTATCAGTAGTACAGATTAATTCACTCATTGTGATGCTATGTCATATCCAACAAAACCCTACTGTCTTTCCATGTTACTATTCCTTCTCCGTCACATTTCTGCTTATTATAGTTATTTTCAATCTCTTTATTTTACTCTTGTGCCTTTCTTTGTGTACTGCATGGAGTATGTGGCAATTCTGTGTACTGCTGCACTTCTGTGAAAAGTTCCATGTTGAAGCCAGTCAGTCATGTTCCAAGGAACAAAAGAAGACACAGTGAAGTTGTTTAATGGATGGTGACTAGCCGTAGAACCTAGGATGGACACTTCGTCGCATTTGGGACTCGTCATTTGGATGTATTTGTATTCCCTACCCAGTGATGGTGTTCCCGACGGAGGCTCTTTAAATCCAGTCCCCATAGTTTCAAACGCTAAGGTACTATCTCTATTAAACCAGAAGTCCTAAATAGGACGAAATACGCGTTGTCCTGTCCTGGATTCCACTGCTGGTCAAGTCAGTCACCATCTAAGGAATCACCAAAGCAGCTGACATGTCAACACTGGAGGCCGATTACTTCACCTCATAGGCATTCCCACCGGCGTCCGACAATCATTATATTTCTTGACCTAAAGGCGGAATTCGATTCTGTCGACCGAAAGGTACTCTGGCGATGCTTGGCTGTAAAGGGAATGCCAAGAAAATACATTGCACTGATTAAGGCACTCTACTTGTACTCATGCAGCCAGGTGAGGGTTTACGGCGAGTTGTCATCTGAAGTGGTGACGACTAGTGGCGTCCATCAAGGATGCCCATTATCCCCATTTCTATTCAACTTCATCATAGATGTACTAATGGACTTAACCCTAACTCACTTCAGAGACTCAGGGATTGACTTGCTACCAGGGAGTAATCTGGTCGACTTAGAATATACAGACGATATAGTCCTTCTAGGCGAGGACGCTGACAAAATGCAGAGTCTACTGAACACCTTCAGCAACAATTTTCGTATGTTTGGCATGCGATTCGCCCCTGTAAAATGTAAGATGATGTTGCAGGATTGAACTACACCGACCCCTAAATTAGAAATAGGAAGTGAAGTGGTAGAGCACGTTGACCGCTTCACTTACTTCGGAAGTACCATCAGCCAGTGCCAACGGGTTGATCTCCGACGAAATCTCAGCACGAATACAGAGGGCTAGTTTCGCATGTGCCAGTTTACGGCGTCTCTGGCATAGACGTGATATCCGGCTGGATATCGACCAAGGGGTGTGTGTACTGATAAGCAGTCCGCTCCGTCCTCCTTTATGGCTGTGAGACCTGGCCATTGAGAGCGGAAGACATGAAAAAATTAGCTATCTTTGTTCATAGGTGTCTCGTGTGAAGTGGTATAATGTGAGCAATAGTGAGGTTAGGCTTTGGTGGATTGCTAGGTAAGGAGGGGAAATCAGTCGACGAAACTGTGAAATTACATCGACTGAGATGGTTAGGACATGTGTTACTCATGCGCCTAGTCATCACCTTCCTCGACCGACGGACAATGTTAGCTGATATAGGGTCAAGGCTGGAAAAGAAATAGCGGCGGTCATACCAAAACATGGCTTCATCTGTCAATGAAATCCACAACAGTTAGTTTAAGCCAGCCAGCTAGCCACGTAGAAAGATGTAGACTTCCTGGGACGGTAAAAACCAATGACGGCTGGAGACAATTGGTGATATGGCTGGCTCAAAATCGTTCTCAATGACTTGGGCAGATACATCCACTCCTTGTGACTTATAATTTCCAATGAAACTATATTATAATTATTATTCGATATTACTATTCCTTTTCCCTTATATCTCTGTTTACTGTCTCTATTTTGCATTTCTTTTTACTGTCTTCTTCTCTTACTTTGTGTGCTACATGGAAGGAGTATGGCGTCTCGAGCTGCTACACATCTGCGCAAAGTTCTATGTTGAAAAAAGGGAGACAGACAGTTCAATCAACCAATCAATGAATGGGATAGTTCAAATTGTATTTGAATAAAAATTAAGACAACGCTTAATAATAGTGTTTGTGTTTTTTTAATTTTTATAATCTATAAGCATTTAAAAAAAAATTAAGCTCTGAAAATAATCAACTTACCAAAATATATTAACAAGCAAATATTATATAGCGATAATAATAATAATGATAATATTAATAATAATAATTAACAATAAAGTATTTGTACACAAGGTAGGTAGGCAGGCGGGAAGGCAGGCAGCTGGGCCGATAGGTGGTTAAGTAAGTCATTAAATAAGACGACAAGAAAGAGAGGAGGAGACAGTAGGAAGTATTTTAAAATAGAAAAAATCAATTAAATCATCAATTATATTATATTAAAAATGAAGGCATATTCAAGTACCTCTAGAGGTTGAAAAGAAAAGAAAAGAAAAAAATCTATTTACATGAATTCTTTCTTATACTGACTAATCTCTGAAATAAGATTATTTGACTGTGTTGTAACAGCTGTGAGAGGAGGTGAAGGAGAAGGAGGAGTAGTGGAATTTGTAGATACCTCCACAGGTCCATTACTGTTATTATTATTAGTGACAGTATTAGTATTATGAATATCACCATTAACATTTAAAAAGTTTACTAAATTCACATTCAATTGATTTAATGTAGATAAATTACTATTGAATACAACAGGATTTGATGGGATAGAATACGCTGGGAGTGTGGTAAACTGTGGTAAGAAGAGCAATTGATGGGGAAGAGTGTTAGTATTGGTAATAGTAGTAGTATTAGTAGTAGAAGAAGCGGAGGTGGCCCCAGTAGCAGCAACAGCGGTCATTTGAGCAGTTGTCAATAGAATATTTGATGATAATGGAGTTAGTGGATTGGGGAATACACTCACTGGAACATATACCATTTGATGGTTAGTCTCAGATGGATTCATGGTATAAGTTATCTGAGGCATATTATTATTACTATTATTATTATTATTATCAGTGATAATTCCATGCTCTAGAGATACATTAGAACAATCCAATTGACTAGAATCCTGGGAAATATCATTAGGATTTAAATTTGAAATTTGTAGAAGGGTACCATCATCATCACCACCAGCGAGGTTCGAATTTGGGATTACTGTCGTATTCTTATCACTGATGTCTGTAGATTCAACAGGATCTTTATGTATGGTTGTATCGATACTACTAACACTATTACCAGTAGTAGTAGAAGTAGTAGTAGTATCTCTCTCCTTTTTACAACCACTATCCGATTCATTGACATTTTGACTTCTAATGGAATTATTAGTATTAGTAGTATTAATATTGAGATCCTGACAATGAGTTTTCATCATCGATAAATTTGCTGAATTCCCCGATGAACTTAAACATGTTTGAATCAATTTTTTTCCACACTCCAATTCAATAATACCTTTCAATCGTTGTGTTGCAAATGTATAGACATGATTTGTTTCTGAAGCAACCAGTAGAAGGACTTCAGCACCGGTTAATTCAGCCAATTCAACAGCTTTTTTCATTAAACCGGTTTTACGTTTTGAAAAGGTTGAATATCTTTTAGTACGTTCAGAGATAAATTCAATAGGGATTTTTTGTTTACCACGTGTTAACTTTTCACCGGGTAAATAATGTTGTTCATCGGATGAAAAGGTTGATGATTGTTGAGTGAATACTAGAGGAGTGTTACTGTTGTTGTTGTTCCTGGTGGCGGCGGTGGCGCTGATAGTGTCATCAGTATTGCTGCTGACAACTAGTCGACGTTTACTGCCAGCTGTCGGTGATGGATGAATACAAGACAAGGATGCAGCAGCACCAACAGTAGAAGTAGGACTATTACCTTCTGGGAGATTCATCGTCATATGCACGTCATTAGAGCCAACGTGGCCAACGCCAGTGCCACCGCCAATGCCTCCTCCATGTGAATCGAATTCACTATCACTATCACAATGGTTACTATTACTACTGCTACAACTGAAGTCATTTCCACTAGATGATAAATAGTCTGGACATTCAGTGATAAATTTATAAACTTGAGGAGATTGCGAAAATGTTGTCCCATTATTTACAGATATTGTTTCCATTCTTTTTTTATTTTTGTTCTATTTTTACAAAGAGAACAAACACATAACGAAGGTCAAATCATCTGTAATGATAAATTTAATAGTTTAAGGGTGATATTTAACAAATGATAATAAAAATAACTAAAAAGAAGGTAAAATTTTGATGTGACTGTGTTCTCTGACCTGGATGGTTTATTCGAGAAGCTTTCATTGCCACCTAATAGGTAACATCTTTAGAGCATACTTCAATTTGAATTGAAGTGAACTTTTAGATTTCTTCACAAGTTTATTAGTCATCTCACTTGGTGACCTAGAACGTAACTGGTTCCTATTGTCTGTTTTCACCCCTCTAGTCCATTTGTATTGGTATTGATTGTCTCCTTGACCTGAAGTTTGACCCTCTGTGTGTGATATTTCCTTCTTATCGATTGGTAAATTTTGTCTATGTCGATGTGTCTATTGATTGATGATTCACTGGAGTACCAGGCAGCCTTCTAAAAATTTCCTAGAGTCCTTGATGTTTCTTTTATCTAATATTTGAACGTTGTCCCAGTCTAATTGATGTCCGTGGTTGTCTGTATACAGCGATATGAGCGAGGGAGTGGATGTCATGTCTTTTGCTAAGTCATTGCAGCGCTCCCACCTTAAGGAAAATTGAAGAAAGATATCTCGTGGACATCTTCCAAAAGAATGGATATCCATGAAACTTCATCAAAAGACATCTACCCTCAAGCCAACCTACCGAATCAAAGGCCCCCAAGGAAAGCACAAAGGAAATCATTCTACCACATATAGAGCACATCTCAGAGACCACTGCAAGACTCTTGAAACCTTTAGGAATTGACGTCGCACACAAACCGACAAAATCACTTCACTACTTAGCTGGCTCTATGTCAACCAAAAGACTCAAAAACGAAAGAAGATGAAACCAACATCATCCACAAAATAGATTGGAACAACTGTGAAAAACACTGCATTGGCCTAAATGGATGTCCACTTCGTCTTCGTATCCATAATTATAAACTAGCCTTCAAAAGACATGACATCCACTCCCTCGCTCATATCGCTGCACACAGACAACCACAGACACTAATTCGACTCGTACAATGTTCATATATCAGACAGAGGAAACACCAAAAACGTCAGAGAATTTTGGGAAGTCTGACATTTCAGTGAATCGGCACTTAATAGACACATTGACATAGACAAATTCACCAATCGATAAGAAGGAAATCTCACACACAGAGGGTCAAACTTCAGGTCACGGAAACAATCAGTACCAATACGAGTAGCCTAGAGGGTGTGAAAACACACAAAATACAACCAATCAGGCTCCAGGTGACCCACCAGGAGAGATGACTGATAAACTCGTGTAGAAATCTAGAAGCCCACTTCAATTCAAATTGAAGTATGCGCTGAAGATGTTTCCTAGTAGGAGGCAATGAATGCTTCTCAAATAAACCATCCAGCACAGGGAACACAACTACATCAAAATCAGTTACCTGGGCTACAAATCTTCCCCATCATATCTAGAACGTAAAAAGAATTTGTGATTCTGACTCCTTTTTAGTCTCTTGAGCCATCAATGAGACATAGACCATCAAGCTTTGAAGTCCATTATTATAAAAGGCTTTATGTATTTCCCAGTAAATGAAAAACAAAACGATATTGCCGCTCGATATTTCGCTATTTAATGCTGCAAATAGCTTTTATTAAGCAACATTTTCTATGTAAAAGATCAAATCCCTAAGGATTATCAGTCTAATTGTCTCTGAAAAATAAAATGCTTCGAATGTGATGCACTATATACATACAACAAACATCAACAGAGATCAAGCCCAGAAATCAATACGTAGAGCATCTGTTGAACTAGAAAAGCTTGAAAAATCATCAGCCATAGGTGACCTACACTATATAATCAGGTCTCAAAATTGATTTTGACAATATTGAAATCATCATCCAGAAAAGGCATTTCAGAAGTCCTAAAGAACATCTAATATCATCAGAAGCGCTTCATATCATCATCAAATGGAATCCAAATTGTCTGAACTGTATAGGAATGATGAACTAAAACAGAATTTCACCTGGTTACAACACCCTACCCTACTCCCCATGAAATGACAAAATCAACACGAATGTGATGAGCGATTTCATTATATAAACACACGCTGCTTTGATAATTTTACACACTTATTAAATCCAACAGTAATCTACACCTGGTTTTATTATCTTTACCAATTGACCAATATGACAGCAACGCAAAAATGATCCCATGCTGAGAAACGATGATTAAGTTGTTATATAATATAAGCTGAGTGGATTTTGTAAATTCTGGTTTAATAATACTTCTTTGTTAAAGCAATTAGCAGCAGCATTAAATAGCAAAACGTCAGTAAAAGCAGCAGCAATATCGTTTTGTTTTTCATTCACTCATTGGGAAATACAAAAAGGCAACCTTTATTATAATGAATACCATATACCCAATGCCCAAATTTTCTCAAACTGTTAAAAGTCAACTTGGTTTGGACATATATAAAATTTTAAATGTTGAAGTTCCTCTAAGTAGTGTGCGTCAATGGCACAGCAGTAGAATGCTCGCCAACCAGGTCTCATGTAGTTGGGTGTTCGAGTCCCGGCCACCGACGCACTTCTTTACCTCTCTAAGCTAGCAATAAGACTGGTAAACAGGGAAGGTTGGGCATGAGGCTAGCAACCCCTTCCCGTAAATATAAAAATACAGAAAACTAAGTCTATCTTCTCCTGTAAACCCACACCACGGCATTCGGACGATAATGTTACATCTCATTGTGTTTACAAATTTACACGTATAATATGGTTACAAGTGTCTAGGGGAGATGACCCAGCGAGATCTTCGCAGGTAAGGGCTATAGGACATATTCCCAAGTGGCTACAGGATCAAGATAAAATCGAAAATAGTGAAACCACTAGTGGGTCTTAAGACTCATTAAGGACTCAACGTTTTTTCGGGAAAATCGACCTCACTATCGGACTTCGATGAAATCACATCCTAAAATGCCTTTGGTAACAATTTTAGGAAATACACACATACTTCACCTGCACTTTTCAAAAACTTTCCGAAGTTTGGGAGTTTTTTGGGAAATTCTGGATTTAATGCATAAAAGTTTTGGAATTAAGTCCAAGTATCTACATTTTATGCCACGTGAAACATTCAATTACGTAAATTCACTTTATTTTTCGACCTCTCCCTCCCCATTACTTCGTAATTATTCACAGTTTCTAAATTATTTATTGCGTATATATTTTGCAGTCATTCTAAAGAAAAAAAGGCATGCAGCTGATTACATAGTACTACAACTCTCAAAATTTTCATAATGCAGATACAAAACAGTCGACTTGGTGCTTTAACCTTTCCTGGACAACGCCACTTTAATATAATAAAGAGCTATCTCATGATGACAGTAATATCCCCCTGAAGATTTCTCTCTTTCAAATGTAAGTTGATGCTACCGCATTAGTTTCCACCAAATCCTAGTTCAAAGGTTAAGGAGTGAAATGGTTAGATGTATTGACCACTTTATTTCACTTGTGATCCACATCATTTTCAAAGGCTTGTTTAACAGAGTAATCCAGGAGTGACTCAGTATTTGCTGTAACGTTTTGGATTAAGCATTAGACCAATCAGTAAAGGCGTGTTTGAAATGTTATATCACGACAGACTCTGAATTTGCAATGGCATCCAGTTTTTGAACAAGGGAAATATTCATTGCCATGAAAACCCATCGATTAGATTACAGCAAACCAAAGTGTAAATGTGACCTTTGCGATAAAAATGAAGTTTTTATAATCCACTATGCCGGGAGCTTCAGTAATGAAACAGTATGATGAGTCTACCGATACTACATCCAACTCTTTCTTGAAACGCGTAAAGTTCACAATAGTGTTGTTAAGGGATACTTTTTTTAACGTAAAATGAAGGAGAAGACTGTTTAGTAAAAAAAACTAGATGGCAAATTTAAAATAAACATTTTCAGAAAGCCGACAAATTCGGACAGATACCTAGACTTCTATTCAGCACACTCTTTTACCACCAAAGTAACTGTGGCCAAGAATCTGATTAACAGAACCAAACGTCTAGTTATTAAGGAGGAAGAGATTAGCAAGGAACTGAAATTGGTTCAATCCACTCTTGAATCAAATAATTATCCTAAAGCCTTCGTAAAAAGATATTTAAAATGTGAAGATAAGAATGGCTCGAAACCCGTTGCTAAGAATTGGGTTAGTACAGTGGTGATTCCTTACCGCAAACAAAAACATCGGATGAAATAAAAGTTGAGTCCTTAATAGTCATGATATAAGATTGTATTTTCGTGCAACGGACACCTTACCCTCATCACTTATGAAGGTTAAGGATTAAATATAAGAAAACCAGCAGAAGTGTGTATACCAGATCAATTGTGGGGAGTGACGCCATATATGTAAGAGAAACTTCCAGATAGGTAAATATGCGAGTGAAAGGGCATAAACAATGTCTAAAGGTGGTTCCAAAGACCTCTACAAACTTAAATTTTGATTACAGTTAAATGTCTACTTGTCACTCGGCGCCCAATTATTTTGAAATTATTCGGTCAAATCTTGATCACAGTTCATATGAAGGAGACGTCATTCTATACCATGACTATACTGCATTCCATGGTGGAAGCAGATTATTTCAAAAAGCACCAACAAATTACATTAAATGTTGGAAAGCGAATACTGTATTCTAACACACCTCTCATATACATGTGAGATAATAACTCATCATCTTAATCCTATGTAAATCACAGATGGAAGGAGCTCACTTTAACCAAATACTACGATGTGAAACAACGTTCCAAAGACGTACCAATTGGTTTTCCCAGTTGATTAACCTTGAAATAGAATGAAAGGCAAAAGGAAGTGATCAGTCTGATAACGAATTTTCAAAACTATGCTTCTATCTATAAAACAAGTGAAGTGCCCAAAGTCAATGCTGGCTAGGAAACTATGATAATTATCTGTAA